GTGCGTGCGTGGAATTCTGGGAGTTGAAGTCTACCCATCTTAAAGTTGCCAAGGTTGAGAAACACTGTTCTAGATCATGCATTGTGCAACTCAACCTCTTTAACAGTGAAATCACGCAGGATCTGGCTGCATCATCAACCTTTTCCCGAGCAGGGGAGGTGTTCTGTTTGGGCAACGCTTTTCCAGCAGCCAGCTGGAATCCAAGCCAACATGGGCCCGCTCGGGGTGGTCCTGCTGAGCATATCACACAGCCAACCATGTCAGCAAAAAGCTTGCACAGTGATTACGGAGGAGTTTTCCACTTTGGGCACAAATTGCTTTGCTGACTTCTTTGATGGAGAAGCCGCTTATCCAGCAGATGTCTTCTGATACAGAGCCAGCAAGGAGGGTCTTTCGAATCGTGGCCTTCCGAGGCATCCTTGAGCGTCTCGGAAACGGCTCACAGCCTCCCAGTGAGATAAGCTTCCTCATCTTTTCCATCGCTCGTGTTTTCTTGCAAGGCGTTGGCCACTTTGGGAGTAAACGCTTGCGTGTCACCCCCACTACACTGGGTCACTTGGCTTTGCTATGCAATGTTAAAACTGGGGCCTGTGGTGGAAGCTCAAAGTAGAATCAGCCTGATCAAGCGTACTTCAGATGAGTTGAACTACATGGGCTGTGTTGGGTGGGAATCAGAGGTAGTGTAGTCCAACATTGGAGGGCGATGGCAGTTGTGATGGAAGAGAGACTTCATGTCTCACCCAATCAAGACCTCAAGATACCAAGTCTCACACCATCCCAGGGTTTTGCGGAGGGCAGAGGAATAACATCGACGCCTGTAGGTTTCAAGTGTGCGTATACAAAAAGGATTCCCTATATAGTTCCCAGAATCCTCTGCAGGTTTGCCCACAGCGGTATTATGCAAAAATGTTCCTCCAAATATAAGAAGCTTCAGAAAAACCACAGCTGGATCATAGAGAAGGATGGATTGTAAATGTAATTTTGCATTATCGATATTAGAACCCTATTGGGCCAATATCCTTTTTCAAAAAAATATGTTTGATTAGAATTTTCCAATACAATAGAAGTATAAAAAATTGGAGGAAAAATAAGAAAATAAGAAGATAGAAGAAAAGAAAAGAAAAAAGAAAAGAAGGAAGGAAAGGAAAGGAAAGGAAAGGAAAGGAAAGGAAAGGAAGACATAGAATTATGACTTCTGCCCTTCTTTCTATTAAGTAATTGCCATCTGATTCTTTCCCCTTCCTCTTTAACCCTTCTTAATCCCCAAATCCATAGTCATCAATTCCATCTTTCTTCTTTCAACAAAAAGTCCATAGAATGCTTGCAGTCTTTTAAAAAAACGTTTGCTTTTTTCCCTGACCAATGTCCTTTTAAAACAAACCAACAAAAACCCTATTCACCACAGGAGTACCCAAAATATCCCGTTTGCGTTTAACATCCCCATTTTCAACATTCTCCACGTCGAAAAGCCAGGGCTGGTCTTAATGGAAAGGCCATCCTTGACCGCCATCTCCCTCCCCCTGCCATTCGGGACGAGGAGCTTTCATCACACGCGTCCCCAGTACATTAAGATATTTAGCACTGATGGGCCCATCCATCCAACGAGGCATTCAGCGATTCCAGTGCACTCTCGGCAGTTCATAAATAATATCGATTGGTTCCATAATGTTTCCATCTGGATGATGAAGCAGGGTGCGTGTCCACCGGCAGGCTATTGTTAGCCAGGTTTCCACAGCAGCGCAGGGAACACAGGAGATTTGGGCCTCGGGAGGTGTTGCTGTGTCAGCCCCAGCCCCCAAATGCAAAGACGGCGTGTTTCCTTTATTTTTTCGCATCCTCCAGAAATTGCTTGCCTCCGCAGCTCTCCAATGCATGATGAATTCTTGCAACTCTGGAAGTGATAACTGTTTCAGCACTCCATTACCGAGCCCTGCTCTTAGCGAGATCGGATTGTAAGGGCCTGGAGGTCAGCGTCAGGAATATCTCAACAAAGCCCCCTGCCAGTGGGGGCCTCCTTCTTATAGCAAAGGGCAAGACATGGTCCCGATTTCCTTTGCAAGTCATCGTCCCGCCGGCTCCAAACTTCTGATCTCAAAGACGCCAGGAGGGGAAAAAGCGTTCTTTGCAACTCTTTTAGAGGCCTTGAAAAGGATGCTGGGATCAAGCCGGAATTTAAGTCCAGGTCAGGTTCAGCTGGCTGGGTCCTTTTTAGGCCTCCAAGCTGGCAGTGCAAGACTGAGAGAACAGACTGGCTGTTCTCTTTAATCTGGGCTTGCCTGTGGGCTTGTGAGCCAAGCTAGGTTGGTGCAGCTCAGATCTTCATTTGCTGCGTCAATTTTCACTCAGCCTGGACTGCCTCGCAGGGAGATCAGAAGGGCGCCAGGATAAGGAAAAGGCACTCCTCCTTGAACTTTCTAGAGGCATTTAAAATGTTCTTTTCTTTTAAACAAGCCATCATGGCAGGACAGGGAGAAGAGAAAGCCATCTGGTCCTAGTTGCTAGGCAACCCCTTGGGCCTGGTCAGCAGGCCTCTGAACTTCCTGCCCCACCTGTCTATGCTTGCCCAGGGTTGCTAAGCAACCAGAGGAGGCTTCCCCAACTGGGCCCATCCAGGAACATTGTGAGTGGAACTCCCAGAATTTCCAGCCAATCGGGCTCCCTGAGAGCCAGGAATTCTGGGAGTTGTGGTCCCAACATGTCAGGGGGGCACGAGGTTGGGAGAAGCTGAGCCCCGGGGTCACTTTGGATCAACCGGGTGGCAGAGCCGCTCAGCTGCAGGACTGGCAGTTGGAAGGAGCTCAGGTGGCCCGAGGCCGTCCCTCGCAAAGGATCCTGTGCAAAATCGTTGAGAGGAGAAGGATGGCGGAAAGCAGAACTGGGGCAGGAGGCTCTGAATGCGTGCCCAGTCAGTGCCACAATGCAGCGAGCCAAGGAAGGCCCAAGGCAGAGTTGGCCTTCAGCACAACTGGGTTTTCTCTAGCTAGCCCGCCTTGCAGGGCTGTTGTGAGGACAGTGTGGAATAACCACTTCCTCCATCATCCTCTTTTTTGAGAGGGGGACAAACGAGGGGAGATCTGTTAGAGAAATAAAGCACTGGAGATGCGTCATAGGCAGCCAAGATGTGCAAGAAGTGAACCTGTCCTTGCACTAATGTACAGTTTTCCAGGAATTGCTTTTGAGCAGAAGAGGAAAACATCCTGCAGTGCACAACCATCTGCCTCACTTTTGTTTCTTCTCCCTGGGATGGGTTAAACCTCGGCCTCTCCTGCACATCAGTCCCCAGCCAGCGCTGAGACAAGAAAGAGGAGGAAGGGCCCTCCTTGGCCCCCCACGCACCACACGTTTCGCTCAGAGATAGCGAGCTGTTTTCTCAGGACTCCTCTTTTTAGAAATGTGCCTTCAAATCCATGAGGACTAGAAGCTTTAAAAAGGAGGGAGGGGAGAGAGAGAGAGAGAAAGGAGGGAGGGAGGGAG